TTCTTCCCCCTTTTTGGGGGCCTGTACAGTGAAGATCAGCGATGCATTTCCCACTGATCGGCGATCACCGTAGTGAAGCTCTCGTGCCGTTCGAGGCTATCAAAATATTTTAATCGCGGATTTTTGTGGTTGCCGGTTCATTGAGGCTGCCAAGAAGTTGTGAAGATTTATGAACATAATAATTACAAATTTGCTAATTGATTTATTGTCGAGTGTATAAACACCTTTCGCTTAATTTATGCCGCTGCCGTCTGTGTGTTTCTTTTGTATTTTCTTTAAATACCAGTTTGGAGTCAAAGAATTTATGCACTGGCGGGGCAGAGCAACCTGTGAGCCAAAGCAATCAGGCCGAGCATCGAACATCGAACATTGGGCGCGCTTTTTGGGATGGGATGATGTACGACGAATGTCCTGCCACAGTCGCATATATGTACATACCCATGCCGAGGCTCAAACCGTTCATTATAAAGGAGTCAGGTCGTCAGGTGAGCTGAGCGAGAGAGACCGACAACCGCAGGCAATCACTGGCAACAGGCAACGCAAATTAATTATTAATCAACGGAGTGAACCGAGCCCGAGCTCTGAGGAAGAAGCCTCTGAAGGAGGTGGAGACTACCGCCTCTTCCCCTTCGCCTTCCCCGCTCGATCTGCGATCCTCAGCCGAGAGAGTGATTTATGCTCGCGAACCCCCGCTCCCAGACCTAACGAATCCCCAACTCAAACCCAAACCAAAACCAAAGCCCATGCCCAAAACCCAGGCCCAACTGACAATGTTCCTGCCAAGATGGACGATGCCGATGATGACGACGCCGATGGAGATGAAGACTAAGGCCAAGACCAAGACGAAGACGAAGGCCAATGCAATCAAGCCCGGCCAACACTCAGCAGAGGATCGCATATAAGGTAGAGCACTCAAGGAAAAATGTTGGAGCTCTTGATGTTTAATTAATAGATTTTAATGTGTTTAGTTTTTAAATTTAATTGAATAACATAATAATGAATCGAGGGAGTAATACCATAAGAAAATACATGAATGTTTTTAAACACTATTTTTATACCCGTTACTCGTAGAGTAAAAGGGTATATTAGATTCGTGCAAAAGTATGTAACAGCTAGAAGGAAGCGTTTCCGACCCCATAAAGTATATATATTCTTGATCAGGGTCACTAGCCGAGTCGATCTAGCCATGTCCGTCTGTCCGTCTGTCTGTCTGTCCGTCTGTATGAACGCTGAGATCTCAGAAACTACAAAAGCTAGAAGGTTGAGATTTCCCACACATATTCTTTGACTTCCTACGCAGCGCAAGTTTATTTTAGCCGAGCGCCACGCCCCCTCTAACGCCCACAATCGCCCACTAACGATTTTAAAATGGGTCCTGCGCCCACATCTTTAAAGATTTCCGAGAAGTATAAATGCAATTTTGTTGTGTATATTTATACCTATCGAAATGTAGAAGACATTTTTCAAATCGGACCATTCATTAAAAAGTTATACGCAATCAATATTTATATATCTATCTCCCTCGCACTCCTATTAGCTGTGTTACGATTATAAGTCGGGACACCAACCCGATTTCGCACTCCCTTTAGCTGAGTGACGGGTATTAGATAGTTGGGACACCAACCCGACTATAGTGTTCTCTCTTGTTTATAGCTGTGCTTGCGTACCTTCAATGTTCCCTAACTCGAACAGAATTCTCTGGCAGAGTCTTGTAACCATGTTTATACAATTCTGTCTCCTTAAGATGTACTTGTGCTTTTTTCCAATTGTATTAATCCTTTAACATATAATCCTTTAACATAGTTAGCGATGTGCAACTAAGCACACAGATATTTGTACATAAAGTTCAGTATTAAAGTATCACTAACCAAAAAAGATACTAACATTTTTCGTTGGCTACACAGAGAAAAAAACGGAACAATACCAGATTGATATTGTCTCCTCAATTTGTACATATCAATTTTTCCATATAAATGTAATACGAATTCATACCAATATGATACGAAATCATAACAATTACCCATGTTGATATGAATCCGTAACATATTAATATGAATACTTCAAAGATTGATATGTTTTTCATATCAAATGGGGCAAGTCTTCGAAAAAATAGTATGGCTGTAAAGTTGTATTTTTGTTGTATTTCTGGTATACAATGGTATTATAACGCTTTATATGCTGTGGTCACACTTACAAGTTGAGCATGCTTAAACGAGATAATTTTACATTCAAGTTTAGCTAATATACTCGCGTGTAACTTGTCGCGATGGCCCAATAGGTAACGCATCCGACTCTGATGCGAGAGGACCCCGGTTCAAAACCGGCTAAGGCAGAGAAAGTAAAAAGTTTTTAAGGCGCATAATTAACATTTCCTTAACAATATTAAGAACAAAATTGTGGTAAAAAGTTAATATGATAAGATTACTAATAAAAAAAAAAGTTGTGTTGTGTTGTGAGCGGGATTTGAACCCCGTTCCCCCGAGCACAAAATAATATCAGGACCTAGCACCTTGGCCTCTGAGCCATGCCCACATTTTTTTTTTCGTGGCAGAATGCTTTTCTGAGTTAGAGAAAATACAATACAAAATTTTGTAGCAAAATTTGATATGTGCGCATAACAATTAGGGATGTCGAAAATATATCAAAATATCAATATATCGATATTTTTTACGAAAAAATAAATATTTTTATCGTGATATTTTTTTTCAATAATTATCATATATCATCGATTTTTTTTCACATTTTTTTGATAATTTTAAGTGGTCTCACTTTTCATCGGGACAAGAATAAATACATATGTGAAAGATGAGCGCCGCTAAAATTTATTTTTCGGCAAGTGAAAATGCATAGCATAGCATTCAGAATTCAAGAAAAAAAAAAGCGCTGGAAATAATTGACTTTAATATTATAAATAAAAGCAAAAGAAAGCCAAAATAAATATTGTTTTCTTTCATTTATTAAAATATATAAACTAAAAATTATAAAAATATAATTTAAGATCGTATGGGGGTTAATGTTTGGTGGTTATTGCTTATGCAGCTTAAAATAAAAAAAAAAATAATAAAACAAAAATATCAAAAATATCTGATATATAGATATTTTTTTTCTGATATATCAAATATCATTTTGATTTTTTGTTTAAATAAAAAATATCATCGATACGATATTTTTAAATATTTCGACATCCCTAATAACAATCTATTATGAAAAATACCACATTCATATGTTCGAAAATACCAATTTGGTATGTTCGAAAATATACTTTTGGTATGACCACATATGGGACCAAAATTGATATGAAAAAATACCCGAATGATGACCATTTTTGGTATTTTTTTTTCTCTGTGTATAAACCCGCTGCAGGGCTTCCAGCGAGATACGTCCGCCGCTCTTTGGAGCCTTTTGGTTCCACCCATATCAGTCAGCCCCCAAGTACGTCAGTCAGTCAGCGAATGCGAGCGAATGAATGTTGTCCGTTTGTCCGGGAGTCCGTCTGTCCGTCCATTGCACATGCAATGGCCCCGGCATCGCCTCCTGGGACTCTCGGTTCTCGGCGGGACGGAATCGGCATGCGATATGGGGGAACATCGAGTGGCAGTACTACAGACACCGGGCGAATCAGAAATGCCAGAATTGAAATCGCATTTTAAATCATCTCTCGGTGGAGCTGCCCCTTCCCTTGGACTCCTCGTCCACATGATTCACAGTCACAATCGCCTCAAATCTCGAATAACAAATCGCATAATTACGGGGCAGCGGCTGTCCATTGCCTGCCCTCTCGCTCTCGCCATCGGTCTGTCCCGCTCTAGTCTTCTGCCTGGCAGCCAAATGAAGAAGAAGACGAAGGAGCAGAAGACTCGAGATGGCGATGCAGTGCAGATATGAAATATTTTAGCTAAATGCCAGCCAAAGAAATAAAAATGTGGGATTGAAGCGTATAAATCAGCGGGCATTCGCTCCCTCTCCCTCTGGAGCCCTCTCCCCATCTCTTTCGCTCCACTGGAAGCTACATTACTATGTGGATGTGTGTTATGTGTGTATGTGAAGCATAAAATCAACCTGAGGCGATAAATTGAAACGATTTTTGCACTGAACACGCAATTAGTTCTCCTCTAGTGCCCATCCTTCCCCGCTCGTCCTGAATTTTCCTCAGGAGATTGAAAGAAGAATCTGAAATAAAAATGATTCCAATGACATCTGAGAAATTGTTTTGATTTCGCTGAACAAAATGAGTGGTTCTGATCCAGCGCCTGTCCCCTTTTCGATCCACCAAACTGATGGCTAATGATAATGACACAGGAAATGTGCGGAATCCAATCGAGATTATGCCCCTGGGATCGCGTCCTAAGATAGTTACTACGTACGTAGATTGAAATTATGTCAGATTAATATACCGATAATTACAGATTTTTGTTAACCAGTTTGAATGCCAACAGCTATGGTGATAAATTTGAAAGTATTTGAAAAAAATAATTGGAAAACGGATTGTCATATGTTAAAATGAATATCATTAATTAATTTCTATTAATAGGGTAATACAATTTCTTTAAAACTTTTTTTATTATTAATCTTAAACCATGAACAATAAATATTTTTACTTTTACAAATATTTATTTATAGCTACAGTGCTTAAAATTTCTCTGATTGATTTCGAAATTTAATATTTTAACGCGTTGCTAAATATTAAGGACCACAAATAAGGTTACTTTTACCAAGCCTTATAGTGTTTTTGTTGGGTATTCTTTTGATTATTGTCATTGAAATTATTTTTTTTTTAACTTGGCCCAAACTTATTTGTTCCTTCCTATAAAAATCTTTTTATTTTTTTATTTTAACAAACACAAAATATAAACAAAACGAATTTATATACTTTTCTTGTTTTTATCTCAACTGCTCACATTCGAAAAGTAAGAACTCAAAAGAATCACTCCAATATTCGAAAATCACTCTCACAATCGAATTCGAATTTCGAAGTTGTTTGCGAGAAGCAGCGCGTCGTGTTTGCCGTATGGTTGCTCGTGAAAAGTGCGCTGTGAATTAAAAAGTATTATTTAATGTTTCCGTATTAAATTCAAATGTTATAAAAACAATAAAGCGCGACGAAACCAAGTGCATAAACTACATTGTACCAGTCAGAAGGATTGATGCTTAAAGCCAGCATTGTATATTGCAATTGATTCTACAGGTAAGGAATAAATGTATCTTTATTATAGGAGCATTCCAAAATGTGTATTTCCATTATAAGTTAAACTCTTATTGTTGCATTATAGCAGATGGTTTGGTAACTTTAGTTACTCTCATTTAACTACATATTTTATTTAAGTTTGTCTGCTTGCATGCCGACGGAATCAGCTGTTTTGATTGTTGCCAAAGACAGGGGCGTAGACCTAAAGGGCACTTAAAACTTTTACTGAATTATATTTCTCGATTAACCAAATTAAAATATTTTCTAATCTTTGAAATATTGTATGTAATGTGGTAGAAAAAGAGAAAAAGTTATTGCATATTCTTAGTTATTTAAATGTATTTAAAAAATTCCCCTAAGAATGAAATAACACCCCAATTTCGTCGACCCCCACCCGAACGCCCCTGCCCATGTTTTCGAAATGTGAAGAGAACGCGAGAGAGCTCAAACCGGTTTACGCTCCCGAACGTTTGAGTGATATCGAAAGAGTGTTGAGTAATTTCGAAACTTATGAGCTGATGAATAAACCGTTAAAAATTTAAAAAGCGTATATTTATTTTTTAAGGTAAAGTTAGATTATTTAATTATTTATTTTATTTTTAAAAACAACTATTCGTAAATTATTTCTGTTAAAATGTAAAAATATTTGTTTCCTTTATTATTCGATTTTGTTTGTAGTGCATATTAAAAAAACTATAACAAAATTTAAATTATTTAAAACTTAAAAGAATAGGTTGATAATATGGCTAATATATTACCAGTCTTACTTATCCTTTTCATATACATTTATTTTTAAATTTCAAACACTAAATACACAGTTACACAAAAAATTTTCACGCACCATTTCCAATTTTCCATGATAATTGGGTGCTCCTGAGTAAAAGTCCCATACTAACTTATGTCCCATTACCTACAGGTTCCGCGGTATAGTTAAGAATACATAAAACCGATGTTTGCCGAAATTTCGAATTATGTATGACGCCTATAAATTTGGACTAATTTTTATTATTTTCGCTGAAATCTACTCTCAATACCTCACGGCATTCCTAAAAAATAGTCCCCATTGTCAACCATTGCCCATGTCTTTGGAATCCGAATGCTTTAATTTAGGTTTAAAGCGTATTCATGAGGAAATTTTATTTGATTTATTGAAGGAATAAAACCGCTTATTTGATTTTATTATCTACTTCTAAATGTTGTACTAAGCTTGATACAACTTTTTGTATTTATGAATTCCGTTTTAAAAAGTTTATACAAAGAAATCACCTTCTTTTATTAACTCGATGTGTGCTCCGCGGTTATACCTACAAGCACAAAATTAAAACTCTGTTAAATTCCGTACAGAACGGCTGCAGTCGCACTTTGGTTGATATTTTTAAGCGAAATAATATCGCGCACAATAATCATTATTTCTGAGTGATATTTTTTTTCGCTTACAAAATAATCATTAAATTTTTATAAATTTTTAAATTTAATTTTTAAATTTTTAAATTTAAATTTTTATTTTTTACGTATAATGATAACGGTCCCTGATTTTAATTCTTAATTATAATATTCAATCATATTTTGTAATTTTATTTTTAAATTTTTCACAAAATGTTAATTTTATATGTACATTTTACATAGGTATTCTAACTTTTATTTGCCACTTCTCTTGGGAATATTTTGGGGAGGAGCAAAACAGATTTAAAAACCAAAGTGAAGGCAACTGAGAACAAACAGCATTCCCCGTCTCGCTCGCTCCACGGACTCCATCCGAGTGTCAATCAATCACCTGTCAGATTGGCCACGCTCACTGGCCATCGGGTTACACAGACATCGGGTGAATACCCACTCACATGGGAAAGATTCTGGGCAGCATCGGAAAGATACATACGAACTTACGGAACAACCATGGCTGGGGATTGTTTGTTAGAAATGGTGGCCTTTGATTCGATGGGATTGGACGAGATGGAGTGACTTGTTTTTTTTTAAGTAAAATTAAAAAATGTATAAAGGAGACCATTGATCCGAAACCGTTCCTTTCCTTTTTACTTTACAAATAAGGTTACTAATGTCGATAAAGAGTTAAACACCAATAATAAGTAATTTTCAAAATTTTAAAATAAATAATAGGATTAGCTCAGTACAAAGAAGTACACCCAGAAAAATGATGGACAACATTTTAGGTCATGCATAGCCTAAAACATTTTAAATGGACTAAAAGTTCCTTTTTAGGTCATGTACTGCCTAAAAATTTAAATTTTTGGTATATTTGCCCTACTATTTAGGTCCCGTATAGCCTAATATTTTAGGTCATCGTGGGCCTTAAAATTAATGCATTTTACCTAACACGGAACTCTGATACCGTTCTAGCGACGCTACACTCATAAAAATAATTTTCTACATTTTAGAAAATTGCCCTAAAAAAATTTTCGCCCTTGAACTGAGAAAAATTTTCTATTTTCACGACAATTTTGCCATAAATTCAAGGCAGGTTACCATAAAAAAATATTTTTAGGGTTAATTTTTCTATTTTTCTAATAATTAGGGCGATTTTTTCGATTTGCTTCGATTTGACCTTTTCTAAATCCAACGGCGAATTGCCCTAATTTTTTTTCTAAAATTTGTCTAAATACAAGGGCGATTCGCCTTAAAAATCACTCCAAAAGTGTGAGATTCGGTAGCCCAGCGGTCTAATCACTTGCGCTTTCAACTTTGCTATATGAGGACTAAGGTCGTGCGGTTGTGGGTTCGAACCCTGTGTGATTCAACTTGATTTTTATTTTTTTTTTTTTTTGTAAACGTTATAATACTAAGGACATTTTTTCGTCCGACTTTTAAATTAAAGTAGTCTTTAAACCTTAAAAACGTATGGGAGTTCTGAGTTAAAAGCATCTTTGTGTTTGCTGGCAAGAAAACGGGACTAATTGTCACAGTCGTCAGGAAAAAAATATACGGTTTAGTTGCCTTTAGTCAAAATATAACGTAGACCTCAAGAAAATAAGATGTCTGCAGAGTTTGTTCGTTGTCTTGCGCGATGGGTCTGTGGTGCAGCGGTAGGACGTTAGACTCTAAACCGAGAGGTCGTGGGTTCGATTCTCGCAACGACCAAAAAAAGTAAGTTGTTTTTTCTCCTCATATTTATTTCCCTAATTCGTTTACAAACATGATTTTTCAGTTCTAACGGCTGTGTTGTATAGATCGAGCCCCCCTCTTAACGCAGCTCCCATATAAGCTACACACCAATACAATAATATGAAACGGTGTCCTCCGCCGGTGTTGTTTAATTAAAGCAGCAGTCCCAGAATATAGACGATTAAAAAAAAAACATGCTTCCCAAATTCAGTTAAGCATGCTCAAACACGATTTTTTTAATTTGTCTAATTTTTTAGGGCATTTGCCTATAAAATCAGAAAATTCGCCCTTAATTTTAGAAAAATACACCTTAAAATTAGGGCAAATCACCCTAAAAACAGGAAAATATTTCTTATTTCAAGAAAAATCACCCTAAATTAAACCAAATTTCCATCGGGATTTTTTAGAAAATTTTTCTAAATACACGGGCGAATCGCCAGCGGATACGATTTATGGGCGATTTTCTAAATCCACGGGCGAAAAGTCAGTTTTTTAGGGCGATTTAGGGTAAAAATTTCTATGAGTGTATAATTCCCAACCAGTTATAGCGCGGCTTGCATAGTAACCCACTTCGATCGTTGAATAAAACAGCGATTTCACTGCTGAACAGTGAAGCCTCTTCGCTCGTTTTTGTGTGTTGGCATAATGACGACTTCTTGAAGACTAAGCCGACATTGACCTCGAGTTAGCTATAAATTTCTCTGTATTTACTTTATAATATGAAACATTTTTCAGTACAAATTTTTAGGCCAAAGAAAGCCTAAAATTTTGGATAGGGGTTTTCTCATATTTTAAGGCAGCCAATTACCTAAAATCTAGGCAAAAAATTACCCCATTTTAGGCCATTAATGGCCTAACATTTTAGGTCATACAATCCTAAATTTTAGGCCATTCAAGGACTTAGCTCCAGTTTTAGGCCAATTTTACCTAAATTCTAGGCCATTTTTTGACATTTTAGGTCATTTTTTTTTCTGGGTGTATATTATCAACAAACGCATCCAATCAATTTAATGGAAATATTATTACCGGAAATTTTATATTCAAAAATTATGCAGAAAATTTTGTTGTGAGCCTTGGTTTAATGGTTAGGGCTTTCCTTAAATTAATATAGATCATAATTTTTTAATTTAGTTAGTAAGACTGCTTTAAATGTTGTTGTATAAACATCCTCACTCACTTGAAACTCAAGATTTTATCTTCGATATAGTGTTCATCAGTACTTTTCTCCCCTCATTTCCACGTGTCGCACACCGTCAAACAATTTTTCTCTTTCAACGCTTTTGTCTAGCAATTCCTTTAGGCTCTTTTCTGTTTTCAAAATTTATCGAATGCCCAGGACAATGGGAATAGGAATAGGAAGAGCGAAAGGCGGGCAATGAAACAGAAGTGAAACACAAATAAATAAGGATAATAGCAGAGCTACGAAGGAGAAGAAGAAGCCGACAAATGCCTACGAAAAGGGGTGGTGTTGGGTTGGTGGTGTTTTTAGGATGGGTGACTGAGAGGGCGAAAGGCAATTAAAAAATATTTAAACTGCCAACTGGTAAGGGTCCTTTGGACCCGTTTCTGACTGACTGACTGGACTGACGCCTTCGAGGCAAAGTTGCTGCCCCCGAAAAGGGGCGGGGTTGTTAAAAACGTGGGGCTAAAGGAAATTTATGCATACTTTCCTCGCCTTAACTTGGCCGGTTCGTTGCCTTTGTTTTTCTTTTTTATTTTCTCCCTCTTCGCTGTTGTTTTTCCTGCCACTTCCACCCACATTTCTCCACCCCCCGTCGCAAAATCAGTTTGAGTTGTGTGATTGTGTACGTGAGCATAACGGTTAAAATGGCCAAGACTGGGGCAGTCCACCCCCAATGGCCACCCCCTGTCAGAATTGATTG